CTTGATTAGTAAGAAAAATATATGATAATGGAAAGCATTAAATGTGTTCTAATTAAAAATCATATTTAAAATTAAAGACATTAAATTTAATCTTTTAAAATTTGAAATACTTCATATTCTTCTATTGAAAAATTTTCTAATCTTTATCTCTTATTGCTTTTTATATGAATGTTTACATCAGAAATTATCGTTATAATTTTCTTCACCCTTTTCATCATCATTTTCTAAAAAAAGATCTATATAAAATGTAGGACTACAATTATTATGATAATAAATCGCAGCCTCTTCGTTAAGTATACAACTTAAAATGAGATCCTTAAAATCTTTTATTCTTAAAAGAAAATATAAAATATTCTTAGTTTTATCACATCTACCATCAAGAGAATATTTCCATGTCAAAGGATTAAATTCTCTAAGAATTTTTCTGTTTTCTTAATTTTGATAAATATAACTATATGAAATTTATTATCATATAATTTATGAAATGCCTTTGAAGTGATTCCGTATTAGCTTCCATATAATAATAATTTAAATTTATAAGGTAAATATAATTCTCTAATGATCAAATTTGCTTTTAATTTCTATTCTATTATTAATCCATTTTGGAACTGAAACTGACAAAAATTGATGAACCTGTCAAATATGACATATATGCCAAATATGTCAAATCTGCCATATCTGCCAAATATGCCATATCTGCCAAATAGGACACACATACTATTTATTATATTTCTATTATTTATATCATTATTATCATTTATATCATATTTAACATAAATAGTATATCTGTTAGCTCTGTTATTATTGTCAGTAGTATCATAATTATCATAGATTTTCTTTAATTGTAATTTTCCTATATAAAGGGCATGAAAATGCCTTGGAAAAAGGACAGATTTTAACAGATTCCAACATTATATTGAATATATATTTAATAACAATAATAAACAATCTTAACATTTTGCAAACCTAAAACTTATAATTTTATTCTTGTTAACTAAATAAACTCTCTAATAAACAGCATGTTAAGTTAATTGGATTTAAATCATAACTATTATCTCCCTGACTTTAAATCATAGTTAACTTATTCGACAGAAAGAGTAACGTTAATAGAACTAAAGAAACAATATTTAAATTAACAATTTTCGTGTCAATTATTCTGTTAATATTTCTATTTTTAGGATATAAAATTTTGACTTTTTGTTTACTATTTAGATCCAAGTAAGAAGTTAACAAACATTTATAAATTAAGATTTTAATAGCTTTTTATATGGTTGAACTTTTTTGATGAATTTCTCAGAAGATAAACTGAAAAATCTAATAAGGGTAAACAATGCTATAAAATATTACTCATTATTTTGAAATCATTATTTGACTAAATTATAGGATTCAGATAAAGAGTAGGATTTTTTTCAAGTTCCTATTTTAGTACATATTTCTAAACTTTAACTTTGTTCATTTGTAAATCATTTCTTTTAATAAGCAAAATTAAAGATTTTTGGAAAATGACGTAAAATCAAGTGATTTAAATACACTTTCAGGTGATTTAATCATCAAATCTGTACAAAATTGTTGAAGTTTAATAAAGAATTATATTGAAAGCTCGTTTGATAAGTGAGTTCAAATTGTTATTCCATTCATTCAAACTTATTTTGATTAAATGTCTTTGCATATAATCAACTAGTTCTTGAAGGAGAAGGTGATTAGCAACATTTAAAATATTTAAAATGTCTGAAGCTTCATGTACCAGTAAAATGATTCCACTATAAATATATCTGTATAATAGATAATTTATTTTAATTTTAGAATAATAAAAAAGTTACTAACACAAATAACTTACTTCAAAGATTTTGATAAAATTTTTTCTTTATTATTCTTTTTAATGGTAGCTAAAGTTTGTCAAAAAAATTGGAGAACGATAACATAAAAATAATCATATATTCTCAGAATTTAGATCCTCTCTAACTTCAATCATGATATCGTAATATTTATCATCATCAAATTTTTTGAACAAAATTGAGAAAAAAAAATTTGTAATTTACCTTTTATAACATGGATGAAAATTATTTTTTTATTATTATTGAGACACACATAATAATTCATATAAAAGTAATAGTTTTTCAAAAAAAAAAATATGGTGAATTTCTTTATATTAAAACCATCATTTTACTCTTCTCATGATTCAGAAGGCATTTCTGCTATTTTTTAAAAAAATAAAAAATGCTATTTCATATAATATATTATATCAGAGGTCTAAAAATTCTTAACTGGAATAAGTACTAGGGTGTTGCCTTATTTATATGAGATCATGTTTATTATCAAACTAACTTTTTTAGGAACTTTCATATAAAACAAAAAATAGTTTTCTCACTTTACATTGGGCATAAATAATCTTTATAAATAATTTTTTTTTAAATAAATCTTTTATTTATCAAGGATATTTTTAAAATAAAAAGAAAAGTTGATAGAAACATTGCATTATTTTCTTGATTTGACCATTATACTAATATATGACCATAAAAAAAAATGATATAGCGTACTTAATGAAAGTTGATTCTTCAGTGAATGACAAGAGAGATAAAAAAATATTATTTTTAATTTAAAATATGATACTTCAAAATTTAATAGTTAATTCAAACTTTTGTAGATAATCCAAAATCAAAATACATGAAACTCCATGTGACGTTATAAAATGTGTCAAATATTAAAGTTTGAAGTAAATAGAAAATATGTAAGGTATGGTAATCCTGTGATGGCAAATGATCAGATCATTTGACTATTTTGAAATGATCATCGAATGATCTAGTCATTTGAAGTCATTTGTTATTTGGTTATTTATATGTAATACAGGCCAACAAATTTATAAGATATTTGTGAAAACGTTCGAATCATTAAATTACATTATTATTTTTTGAGATCACATGATATAATTTTTCATTTAACGTTGAAATGACTCATTTGAGTCTTTTTGATGTCATTTTGGGTTACTTGCCATCATATGTGTGTTAAATGTATGGCGATGTATGGTGATATATGATACATTCATCATATATACATACATAGCTATATGTTGATCACGATACATACATACATTGGGCATCCTTTCCTTATATTTTAATTTAAAGTTTTGGATTTTTGATTTTCTTTTAATTCTTTGTTACATTTTATTGACTTCTAACTAAAAAAAAATTTTTTCCTAATAGATCGACATATATGTATATCACTTGATGATCATTATTTACCAATCACATCGAAAAATTGAAAATAACGTGCCTTTAGATCTAGCGATCTAATTGGGTAACCATATCAAACCTTAATACAATATCTTAATAAAAAACTTTTATTTATTAGTTTTTAAATTTAAATATTAGATTTATAACTTTACATAGAGCTCAAAAAAATACAATAATTTTGTAAAATTCATAAAAAAAAGTGCAAAGTAAATTTTGTAAAATAAATGATTTTTAAATTGCGAAATTTGATTACATCTCTTTCTGCTTTTTTTTTGAGCATTTTTTGTTAAATATGTACACCATATACAACTACTTCTTGCCTCGCTCCATTCAGGAAAATGACCACCCGGTGATAATCTCTCTAAAGGAAGTTCAAAATTTGATGTAACATATTGATGTCTTTTTTTTTTTAAGGATCAACTTGAATAAATTTAAATTTATTTGTTTTTGGTTGCTTTTTTTTTCTTCCAATCCTGCTTTAATTAAATCGCATGATAATTGTAATCTGAAATCCTTATGACTAATATTTACATCACTTTTTTTTTTAATATTAGTATCATCTGGTAATGAAACATTTCGTGCAAATTCAGCAATATACAAATCGTATTCATGTTCTTGTAAAGTTCCATAATAAAAAAATAAAAAAGATTTTAAAATCGACGAAAAAAAAAAAAACTTGGGAACCAACTTAGCTTAATTTGAATGATCATTTATGTCTGCAAAATTATGTGATGATCTTAAGGGATAAATATAAAACTGAAACAAACCGTATATACCCATTTATTCTATGACCCAGATACTTATAATATAATTATCCGGGTATACACATGTTGTATCCGAGAAAATTGTAACGAGTCGCAGCTCCACGACGCAGATTGTATTTGACAAATTTCTCTTCTTATCGTTCTAAAAGTATTTATTTTCTTACCAGTTGATTAACGTGTCGAATGAATATTAATTTTAAACAGCACAATAATAATTTATGTATTTACCTAATTCTAAAACCTTCTCATTGTGAATTTTATAATGCAAGTTAAAAGTTTACTTGAATAAATTGCGGTTATTTGTTGTTCTATATCAAACTTTTGATAATGTTATGACTAGATAGATTATTCAATTACATCGAAAACATTCGTTACTGATGTATGACAATACCTTTTCGTCATTACATTTATGTATTTCTATAATTAAGTTCAATTTCAGGTTATGCAATTTAAAAGATGCGTCAAGCTATTAATTACAATAGATTCTGAAACAATTATTCATTAAGTTTTGGGTTTCATTACTTCTTAACCGATATTTTTCATTTCACTTCCATTTATGTTCGCATAAAGATGAATTTTATCATTTAAAAATGAATCGGCTTTAATGCAAGGTGTTTCATTGTATTTTGGAAAATTATTGACAATCGAACAATTTCTTAAAAGGACGAACTTTTATACCAATGAAAGCACACAAGAATATTTAGATAAATGATACCCTAGAAATGGAAAGTGTTTAATAAAAAGAAGGAAATTTGTTGAAAGACCTTTCAGAAATAATTAATTGTGAAATCGACAAAAAAAACGTTTTGCATAATTTTTTATTCAGATGTATAAATTGGTTAATGCAGACGTTCTTTAAGCATCTGATCGACATGTTTTACCTACACGTCCAAAAACGGGATTTCATTTGTTTTTTATTGCTTAAAATTTTATTTAATAGTCCTCGAGAATGGAGGGGAAAAAAAAAATAAAAAAAAAAAAAGAAAAATTAAATTATCCTCATAAAATGGCGAATCCAAACACAAATACCACGGACGACGAAAAATGGACAAAAACAACTATGGATAAGAGACTACTTTTGGAAGGGCTAAAGAGAGTTATTGAGAATAGTTACACTTTTACAGAAGACGTCAAACGAAGCATGACTATATTTACTGTTTTCTACTCCATTACATTTATACTTGGAGTAGTTTTTGTTTATGTAAATGCACATTTTCAAGAATCACAGAAAGTTCCAAGAATTGTAAGGAATTCCATAGCTGGAGTTGGTACTTTTGCTAGTCTTTTAACAAGTATGAAAACTATTTCGGAAACTTTAAGTTCAGCTCGTACAAAGGAAATTACTATCTCGAATATTGATTTAAATATAGTTAACCTCGCCATAGACAATGGTCCTGATGATAATGACTTGAAAGAGTTGAGAGACCTTATCGAATCTCGGAATAATAAATTAGAAAAATTGAGGTTTTATCGTTCTTTGTGGGCTTTTTTTTGTTCAATTAATTTAATTATAATTATTATTCTTGATTTTAATTTTAATGGACCTGTTACATCGTTTATTTTGGATGGAATTCTTTGTTTTGTTGGGTTTTTTGGTGTAATAAACTGTTGGTTGTTAGAGGATTTTCTATGTTTTCAAGAATTTAGGAATAACCCTGACCCTAGGAATAACCAAAACCCTAACCAAAACCCCGTACCTGAACAGAACCCTAAACCTCACAGTTGGCTTAAAACGAAGCGTAACGAATTTCTAGATTTGATACTTTTTATTTGTCTGGCTTTGTCGGGTTTAGTTTCGTATACATCAAAGGAACCATCACAGAATAAATATTTTTTGAAGGATATAAGAAGATATAAACAATTTGTCATTTCCCGTGTCACTTTTCAACAGAGAAATCGAAATTATCATAATATGAATGGGGAAAGTGAGAAAGTGAAAGCAGAACATATTTTACATGGTTTAGGAAAGGAGATTGTTTAATTGGATAAATGATCGTCCAATAGGCTATTCAGTTTAATCTTTATTAGCCCCTGCAATAGTATATAGGTAGTTAGTATTTTAGTTCACGTTTGTATAGAAAGGTTCAGTTTTATTGTTAAATTTCGAAAAACATTTAAAAACCAATAAAAGAACATTTGAAAAATAAAATTTACATAAATTTTCAAAAAATCCATTTCAAAGGAATAAAACTTAAAGACATTCATTGTAAATTATGCGCAGTGAGATATTCTGTCTAAAAAAAATTATTTGCACTAATTGTAAATCATTCTTATGATGATAATACTAAAAATTTAATGACGAGGGATAATAGAAATATAGCATTTCAAGATTTGTGTATAAATTGATCTAGTCAGTTATTAGAGTTTTCATTTATTGACTAATCTCGACTCTCATTTGAAATTAACGACCATAATTTTTATTATTAACTAACTTAATACTTAATAAATTTTGTAAAATTATTTTACTAATAAACGAATTTTTAATAGAATTGATTTTGCACTTTGATTAAAATTATAAGTTTTAACTAGAATTAATCCTATACAGCGAATTTGCGAAGTTTTATTATTATATCATTGTATAAAATTGGGCTAGACTCTACGTAGACTTTGCAGAGTCGACGATTTGAATCTAACAGCTAGTATCACCAAGCATAATTTAATAATAGTTTTGTTTATAATAAAGATTTTAAATTTTTATTTTACTTTTAAAAGCGAAATATTATTGCAATAATCTTATTCATTAATTATGACCTCGTACTATTGATGATTTAGAGCTGCGACCCAACAGAATTTCAGAATTCGGATCATGCCTGGTTAGCATTTTATCATATATTCTGTATCCGAATTACCCGGATATAACATGGATTATATATTAAAATAAAGTTTTTTTTAAAATTTAAACGCTTTTTTATTATAATTATAATTAATATTAAAACTAAACTTTACTGTACCATTACTTATGATGAGATCTCATTTATTAAAACTTAACAAGCCTTTTTCGCTCCGAATACGAGCGGGGTAGCCCTGATATGAAGTTATGATATATCGTGGTCTCTGGATGTTCGTATGTATTTTATCGGGTCTTTACTTAGTGGTTGGTCCGGAATTTCGTTAGACCTTTTTGGTTTATGTGCCTTAGCCTTCTGTATTCTGTGAGAACTTCTTCATCGGTTTTAAGGGCGTCAAAATCGAAAAAGAGTATTCTTACAGAGTTCCACGAGATGTATACTTGATCGATCGTTAGGTTGTGTGAGGCAGTGTCTTTTGATGCAAAGGCATTCTGGATTGGGAATCGCTGGAATACCATTGATGTTGAAGTATGATGTCATTTTTTGTACGTTGATTTTGGTTATTATCTGTCATAGGAAAGTTAATCTCTATATTTTTGTTGTCTGTGAATTTTGTTACTACTCCGATGCTTCCATTGCATATTCCAGGTTCGAATAGTTTATTGTTCAAGTACATCATTCGCGCACCTTCTTGTATTGTTATAGAATTTGGTAGGTTGGTATGATTTTTGAAATGAAGTTTGTCATTTTAATTATCAATTATCTGGTTGTTAAGGTTTTGATATGAAGACTTCTGGGTTTTTATTACTTGATGGTAGGTTGGTAGATTCAGAGATTTTTTGGTTTATTATTGATTTTGATTTTTCGGAGAGTTGACCAAATCTCGACTCTTGGAGTAGGTTATAGAAGTCTGGATGTTTTTTCAATTATAATTGCTTTTATTTTAGCAGCTCTATTTTTTTTTTATCATCTAATATTAGTGTTTGATAATGATTGTTATATTGTGTCTAGTTTTGAGAGCAGAGTGGATGGTTTTTCCGTCTATGTTTGGGCGGATACTCCAGTTGAAGATTATAATATATGTTTAATATTTTTGATTATAACATGTTTGTGATACGTATCATGAATGACTTTCCGGTTCCTGCTGATCCAGTCATAAAAAAGTATGGATGTTTGTTTTCTCGTTCGGTACTCTAGGAGTTACATAAGTTATTATAAGTTACATATTGTTCTTCATCGAGAATTAGGGACCTATTTTCATTTTTTTTTTTTTTTAGTTTATTAATTTTTTTTTTGAATTAAAAAAAAATAAATTTAGAAAAGAATTTTTTTTTAATAATTATTTAAAAAATAATAGATATATATATATTTACGTTAAGTTTAGAATTTCTAGGATGAATTTACCAATAATTAGCATAATTTTGTTTCTCAATTTGATTAATCATATGATAGCGAAATTGAATGCTTTGTAGTTGTAGCTTACAAACTCATCTTCATCGTAGCCATTCCTGTCAGTGTTACATTGCCAGAAGCTGTTTCAATAAGAAAAATGGCGGCAAATATAGAGGTCATTGTTTTTTTTTTTTTCATCCTATTCTTTTTTTATAGCTTATAAATAACAAAGACGATACTTTTTTTGTTTATTTTTTTTATTTTTTAGTTTGAGGAAGAAATTTTTAGTTCGAGAAGAAAAAAAAATAAAGGTTTTAGATCATAAAAAAATTTCTGTTGATCTTATCTGGATGGCGCATTATCTGTATTGTTCTATTTGTTGTTTATTGTTTATTTTAGTCTAGTTTCATTATTCCTGTTTTTTACTCTTATCATTGAAGTAACTTTTTTTTCCATACTACTATTTTAATAATTAATTTCCGCTTTTTGTGTTCTTCTAAATTACTTCGCAATTACTGGCTACTGAAAAAACGGACAAAGTTATAAAATATTAGTATATAAAAAAAAAAAAATTTAGTCAATTTTTTCTGACTGTAATGTTGATCATTTGGATTTGGACGCGGAAGAATTGTAGTAACTGTCTTCTTATTTAAGCTTCTTCCCAAAAAAATCGGTTGTTTTAAAGCTGGCTCATTATCTGATCATTTCAGAGCTGACCATTTCTGATAATTTCTGACAGTTTCTGAATGAACGAACATGATAATGATAAAGAACTATACAAAACGTTTTCTTTCTCGTGCTACCGATCATGAAAAATATAGAAAAAAAAAATCTCAGCCAAATATCCGATCATTCAATCATTTTTCTCAGATAGAAAATTAGACCAGACCAAAACAGACTGGAGCAGTTTCACGAAACTCGAGCCATTTTTTTACATGCATAATTATCGACTTTTTAGGAACTCTCATATAAATCAAAAAATTTTCATCATCCCTTACATTTCCATAAAGGGATAGTCTCTATAAATATTTTTATTTCTAAGAAATAATAAAAAAAAAAAGCTTATAAAACATCGCATGATTTTCTTCATCGAATGACCGTTAGGTCAATTTCTTCTGGAATAAACTACATTTTTCGTATTACTGAGCTTACTAATTATTAATACGGTTATGTAAAGTTTAAAGTTTAAAATCAAATATAGTTTAAGCAACACAGTTCTACTGTCAACCTCTCATTCCCTAACGACATTGACGAACCGAACGACCTTGATACTAATGATAAAAAGTCACATATATCAGAACCTATATTAAGCATAAATATTCCACTTAAAGAATATATTAATCAAAAGAAGGAACAATTGGCGGAAATATCTCAACGTATAGTCAAAGATCTAGAGAATAATGTAATGCACTTGTTAATTCCTTTTTTTTTCGGATTTGAAGTTGTAAACTAAAATGAATGTTAAATTTCCTAGATAGGACAACTAAAAGACTTACGTGAAATTGCTACTGATAAGAATTTAACTGTAAAAAAGTTGGTAATATTATCTCAGTTTGTGGTATTTAAAGATATAATACCCGGGTATCGGATACGACAATTGACAGACAAAGAAAGACAGGAACAGGTAGAACAAAGACCACATTTTTAATGACCCTCAAAGTGCAAATAAAATCAAGGAGACGTATGACGTCTTAACTGTCATACAAGGAATCTTCAGAAACAACCAAACACAACCCGCGCAAAAGGCCAAGATCTTCTATGTCAGAGTCAGTTCAGAGAAACGAAGGGGGTTTGTTGCCCTTCTGGAACGAATTCACGCAGGAGGAATCAAAGAAGTGGTGGTTACCCGAAAGGTATGAGTTTAATTATTTATTTGCTTTGATTTATTGATTTTTTATTTTACTAACTTTTTTATTAGGACCGATTGTGCCATTTCAGATTCGAGCTTGTGGAATGATTCTTTGTGAAGAATGGGACTCAGCTCGTGGTACTCAGTACGGATGTTAGTGTCAAAAGTAGTGAAGTTAGAGAACTTGCAGAAGACTTCCTTGCAATCATAACAGAGTTTGTGGTGTGACATAATGGATTATATTCAGTCACAAATCGCAGAAAGAAAAGAAATGTTGCCCAAAAGTTCCAAGAAAAAAGTGAAAAAACCTCCAGCAGGCAAGGTACAACAGATTCGCATTTATCCCAATTAGCAGGAGCGTCTGAAACTCAGAAGATGGATGAGAACAACATGATAGACATACAATCAGTGTCTTACTACGATCAAAAAAGAAGGTATCAAACAAGAAAAGAAGGATCTATGTACACTATGTCTCAACACTAAAAACTTCATTAATACCAATCTCAAATGGGTTCTTGAAACTCCCTATGACATTCGTGATGAGGCAATGAATGACTTACTTGCTTAAAGGATATTCTTCTAACTTTGCTTCTAATCGTAAAAATTTAATATGAAATTTCGTTCTAAAAAAGATCCTCAGCAGTCTATTGCAATCTTATCAAAGCATTGGGGTAAATCTTGTGGTGAATATTCATTTCTTCATAAAATCAAGTTATCAGAACCTCTTCCAGAAAAACTTGAATATGATAGCTGACTTGTTCTGAATCAGCTTGGTGAATTTTATCTTTGTGTATCCAGACCACTTGAAATACAGGCTGAAAACCAAGGTTCTATATTTCAAAAGGTTTTTATCTAATTTTTTTTATTATTTATATTATCTTTTAAATTAAACTTCAATTAATTATATATTTAATAATTTAATAGAAAGGATCAGGTGTGATTTCTCTGGATCCAGGTGTACATACATTCATGACTGGTTATAATCCAAGTGGAACAGCTATTGAATGAGGAAAAATGACATTGGCCAAGTTTACAGATTATGTCATGCATATAATAAACTCCAAAGCAAGCGTGACTAAATTCATGGAAAAAAAATAAGCGAAACGTTACAGGTTAAATTTATTTATTAATTAATTATTTATTTAATATTTATTTATAATTTAATGTATTTACTACTTTTTAATTGTAGATTACGTTGTGTTATGCTGCAAATTTATAAGAAAATCCATTGTCTTGTGAATGATTGTCATTATCAGCTGACTAAATGGCTTTGTGACAACTATCGTATAATACTACTACCTGAATTTCACATCCAAGGAATGGTCTGACGTGAACAATGACACATTGGTTTCAAGACTGCTTGAGCCATGTGTACATGGTCACATTATCGCTTCCGACAGCATTTAGTTCATAAGTAACGTGAATATCCATGGTGTCAAGTTGTAATTTGTATAGAAGAATACACAAGCAAAACTTGCAGATTCTGTGGTTACATTCATAAAAATTAGGTGGATCTAAGGAATTTTGCTGCCTCAAATGTAAAATAAATCTTGATAAAGACATAAATGGTGCTCATAATATTCTCTTAAAATATCTTACCCTTACAAAAAAGGAAAAGGAATCAGCTTAGGCTGACGTGGGAGCCTATTCCCTTACAGGACTTGTTATTGCCAATTTAAACTTTGCTTAATGTAGGGTTTTGTTAGTAATGATAGGTTTTAATGTAAGCGTGATGAGAGGTATAAAGAATATTATATTTAATTTAAATTATGATTCTTGGTAAATTTAATTATTGTAGATACATCTAAATTCAAAATACATGGAACACCATTTTACGCTAAAAATGCATGATTAGGTTTTTGGTGATTTCTTCATGTTGATACTTTTCTTGACTTTTTATCATTACGTGAAACTTTATACCAACGATATAATATGTGAAATGTAAAAGATTGATTATTTATTTTTTATTAATTACGTTGGAGTTTTGAACCAAAAATTATTAACTACTGATTTATCATATTTAAAATTTTGATTTTATTTTTATCAATTATATGCTCTTAAGGAAAATTTCAAAAAAAAAAAATATCCTTAACAATACGGGAATTTAAATTTTTTTAATAATATCGATTTACTAATTAAATTGAATTAATAGTACTCGGGTCAGCCTTATAAATATAAAACGGATACAAACCGTGTATTTATTTTATGACCCGGGATATATAATTATCCGGGTGTATCCGAATAATGGGTAACGAGTCGCAGCTCTATGATGCAGATTTCGAATTTGAAAATTCTCTTCGTACCGTTCGAAAAGTATGACAAACCGAATAACTGTTAATTATAAACAGCACAACCATAAATTATTAATTTACTTAATTTTGAAACCTTCTCAAAACACCTCATTGGAAATTTATCATGCACGTTAAAAGTTTACTTGAGTAAATTGCTGTCCTACATCAAACGTTGATAATGTTATAACTAGATAGATTTTTCAATTACAACAAAACATTAGTTTCAGATGTACAAAAATACCTTTTCGTTTTTGCGAGTAAAGCACTTTCAATGTATTTCCAAATATAAGTTCAAATTTCAAGTTATTTCAATTCCATTTAAAGGTGCGTAAAGCTAGCCATTCATGTGAGTTTTTATTACAAAAGATTCTGAAACAAAATTAATTAAGATTTGGGTTTATTGACTCCTTACCCGAAATTTTTCACTTCCATTTATGTTATCATAAAGATTAATTTCATCTCATTTAAAAATGAATTCGGCTCTAAAATTTAAATGGAAGGTGACATTGTAATTTGGAACATTATTATCAATTAACAAATTTCCTAAAAGGACGATCTTATATACCAAATATGTTTCTATGATGTTCGAACAATGCAATTAATTAAAAAAATCCTGGTCTAAATGACCTTTCAAAAATAATTAATTGGGAAATTGTTGAATGTAGATATTTTTACACCTACACATCCCAAAAAACGTTTTCATTTTTTTTTTTATTGAGATGCATAAAATTGGTAATGCAGACGTTAAGCCTCGATCGAAATGGAGGTTGATCGACGATCTTCATCCAAAACGGTTTTTCATTTTGATGTTTAAAAATTTCTTATAAAAAGTTTTTGAAATGGAGAGGAAAAAAAAAAATAAATAAATAATAATAATAATAAAGAAAACCAAGTTATCCTCAGAAAATGGAGAATCCAAACCATCAAATTCCAAATACCATGGGCGAATGGTCAGTACCTCAGAAAATGGAGAATCCAAACCATCAAAATCTAAATACTATGGGCGAATGGTCAGTTCTTCAGAAAATAATGAATCAAAACCATCAAAATCTTAATACTATGGGCGAATGGTCAGATAAAGCCATGGAAAGAAGACTACATTTGGAAAGGGTAAAGAGAGCTGTGGAGAATAATTATAATTTTACTGAAAACGTGAAACGAAACATGACTATATATACTGTTTTCTACTCCATTACATTTGTACTTGGAGTAGTTTTTGTTTATGTAAATGCACATTTTTCAATAGAACTGATTGCTCCAAGAATTGTAAGGAATTCCATAGCTGGGACTGGTACTTTTGCTAGTCTTGTGACAAGTATGAAGACTATTTCGGAAACTTTAAGTTCAGCTCGTACAAAGGAAATTACCATCTCGGAAATTGATTTAAATATAGCTAACCTCGCTACAGAATATGGTCCTGATGTTAAAAACTTGAAAGTGTTGAAAGAACTTATCAAAACTCGGAATAATAAATTAGAAAAATTGACGTTTCGTCGTTCTTTGTGGGCTTTTTTTTGTTCTATTATCTTAATTATAGTTATTATTCTGGACTTTAATTTTAATGACCTTGTTACATCGTTCATTTTGGATGGAATTCTTTGTTTTGTTGGGTTTTTTGGTGTAATAAACTGTTGGTTGTTAGAGGATTTTCTATGTTTTCAAGAATTTAGGAATAACCCTGACTCTAAGAATAACTCTGACTCTATGAATAACTCTGGCTCTAGTAATAACCTTAACTCTATGAATAACCAGAACCCTGACCAGCACCCAGAACCTCACAGTTGGTTTAAAAGGAAGCGTAACGCATTACTAGATGTTATGCTTTTCATTTGTCTGTATTTGTTGGGTTTAGTTTCACCGGATAGTGGTACAAAGAAACCATCAGAGCAAAAATATTTGTTGGAGGATATAAAATATAAACAGTATATCATTTCTCGTGTCACTTTTCAACAGAGAAATCGAAAAGGTCATGTGATTAATGGTGAAAGTGAGAAAGAGAAAGTAGAACAAATTTTACATGGTTTAGGAAACGAGATTGTTTAAACGTTGATACTTTTAATGATCGTCCAATAGACTATTCAGTTTTAAATCCCTATTATAACTTTTTTTATCCCCTGCAATATATATATATATAGTTAATATTTTAGTTCACGTTTGTATAGTTTTATTAATAAAGTTTTAAAAACCAATAAAAGAACATTTGATAAATAAAAAATCTTTTTAAAGGAATATTAGGTCTGTTCAATTCTGATCGTTCGGATATTTGTTCGGGTTTTGAGTTGATAATTATTGGCTGATGAAATTGTGTGATGATAACTTTCCGAACAAAAAAAACGTGGTAACATTTTGATCGCTTATTTAAACACGACTGGTGTCTAGTTAAATTTTAATATACTTTAAAAATTTAAGGAACATGCAATCTAATGAGAAAATTTTAACTAAACGTGTTAGCTCTTCCAGTTCTCATAGTTCTGGATCTCAAAAGAGGAAAAAATATAACATTACTCGTTCAACTCCGCGTTTAAATTTGCCTAACTCTCAGCAAGAAGTTTCTCAAGCTCCTCTTCAATTGCAACAAAATATTCTTCAAGTAGAACTTCAACAACAACGAAATATTCTTCCTACATTTTGTTAATTTATTATATGAAAAAAAAATGATCCGATCAGCGTACTCAATTTTTGATTTTGATCACATGTTAGGATTGGTTAATGGATTTCCGATCAAAAAGCCGAAAGAATTGAACAGGCTATTATGAACAAATTTATAAAAACCAATAATATTTTACTACAGCAAAACTTAAAATATTATTTTCTATTCTTATTTGAAGACTTAAACTATGATTAGCGAAATATTCTGTCTAAAAAACTTTTCCTTATTACATTATTTAATTATACTAATTGAAGAGTTGTAAATCATTCTTATGATGACAATACGAAAACTTATATGACGAGGGATTAGATTCTCGGGATAATTTAAATATAGCATTTCTCAAATTTGTATAATTTTATAATTTATTTAAACTAATTTCAATTATAAATATTAGACATTGCGAAACTAGCATTTTTTTTCGTATCTTTGGCATAATATTTAGAACAAGACAATTAAATGATAATTGTATACAAAAAAATAAAACACTTTAAAATATAATTCTCTTAAAATGCAATAGATAATGTCAAATTTTAAATATTATTAATCAATTAGAACGCATAAATAATTAAATGGTGTCGATCAAAGGATAAATTATAATTATGCATTTGCTGTATGAGTGTATCAGAGAAATTTTGTGTAATTCTGGATGAATATTATTAGTGGACTTGAAGAAATACATCAAAAGAATCTTATTCATTGTGATTTTCATCATGGTAATATTTTAAATATTAGGAATAATATTTTATCTATTAGTGATTTAGGATTATGTAAACCTGTAGATTATTTTCAAACATCTAAAAAAAATAATATTTATGGTGTTTTACCATTTGTAGCTCCTGAAGTTTTAAGAGGATAATCTTATACTTTAACTAGTGATATATATAGTTTTTCTATGATTATGTGGGAACTAATTTCAGGAGTCTCTCCATTTAATAATGAAGCTTATAATTTTCAACTTAGTTTAGATATTTGTAAAGGAAAACGTTCTAAAATTATTGAAAATGTTCCACAATGTTATATAAATTTAATGAAAAAATGTTGGGATAAGAATCCATTAAAAAGGTCAACTGCATTAGAAATTAAAGAGATTATTAATAAATGGATTAATAATATTAAAAGTAAAAATTTTGATATAGAATTAAAAGATGATATTATAGATTTTTATAATTCAGATAAAGTATTTAAGCAAAATCAAAATAATAATTTAAGGATCATCCACAAGTATTTCATACAAGTTGTTTACTTGATTTTACTGAAAAATTAAATAAAATTTTAGATTTTAAAAATAAAAGTTTAGAAATTAGTCAAAAATTTGGTAATTATAATAATATATATATATAATTTAATAATTTTTTAGTTTAACTTATATATTTTTAATTATAATAGAATCTTTAAATATTATAAATAATGAATAAGTAAGTAATTTAAATATAGATTAAATATATATATTTTATTTTATTTATATTAATTTTTTTATAAAAATAATATAATTAAAATTTAATTTATAAATATATTTAGTATTTTCATAATTATATTATATTATTATAATTTTTATAAAACATTTATTTAGTAACACTGTATATAGAATAAATTTATAAAAATACAGTTTGTAATTACTTAAATAAACTTTTATAAATAAAATTAAATTATCATGATTAAATTGATTAAAAAATGAATTATTAATACTTATTAAAATTAATAAATAATATAAGTAAATTAATTACCATATTTATCTAAAAATAAGCACTCATTTTTTGCTATAGAGATGCTTATTTTAGGATAGTTTAAATAAAAAATCTGAAATATTTTCTGAAATTCGCATTGATTAAATTTTGCTTTTCAAAAATAATGTCGCAAATTCTTAAACACAAAACTCATACTCCATTAAACAAAAAAAAGAAGTGGTCAATTATGCAAAGGAATATGATCAGAATAAAGCTGATAGACACTTTAACCTTGATATAATCATAGTAGAACGTTGGGTAAATACTAGTGCTTGTTAAACAGATAAAATGAATGAAACAAGTAAGCGCGTTAGTTCTGACTAAAAAGTTTTTTTTACAGAAGCAGAAGAAAAGCTATATACATGGATAATAGAACAAAGGAAACAAGGTTTTATGGTTACCTATAGAACTATATGAAACAGGATGTTTGAAATTTTAAAAGAACCAGAGCTGTTGATTCTTTATGATGATTTAATAGAAGAATTTAAAACATCTCAGTGATAGATTCATAGCTTTATAAAAAGGTATAAGCTTGCATTATATAGAAGAACTAGAATATCGCAAAAACTTTCTGATAAAACTTGAGAATTGTTATAAAGTTTATATAATTTTGTTACTAATTTAAGAATCAAAAAATGTTTTAATTAAAAAACATTTTTAATATTTACGAGACAGTGATGGTCAATGACCCAAATGATCTCAAATGACTGGTCGTGTATCATTTGGGTCATTTCAACATTAAATGACAAATGACATAGTCATTTGCCTAAACTAATCAATATCTACCCCCTTAGGACCGGTGCATTTAGAGAAGTGTGTATAATAGACAATGTAATATTTTATAAGTTTTGCATTAAGAGAAAATGTAATATTTAATAATGCGATACTATATTTTTATTTTATTTATTATAATTACATATTGATATAGAATTTTTTACATAATAAATGTAATATAATCTTAGAAATAAAAATAAAATTGCTTTAACGTAATTTACTTCATTAAAGTTTTTCTTTATAGAACTTACCTTTGAACGATCTAATGCTAGAAGAATCTGGTATTTACAAAAAGGTAAGAAAATGAATTTATTGATCTTTTTTAAAAGAATATTTAATATCAGCATTTAACATTAAATAATTTTTTTCATCATAGACTTACTTTTGAATGATCCAAAGGAGGTATCTACAAAAAAGTAAGAAAAATTAGTATCATGGATCTTTTTTTTTTTTTAAAAAAATTAATATTAAATAAATTTTTTTCATCATAGACTTACCTCTGAATGATCCAAAGGAGGTATCTACAAAAAGGTAAGAAAAATTAGTATTATAGATCTTTTTTTTTTTTTAAAAAAATTAATATTAAATAAATATTTTCATTATAGACTTATCTCTGAACGATCAAGTCTTGAAGAAGGCGATATCTACAAAAAGGTAAGAAATTTTAATTTAATGATCTTTTTTTTTAAAAACAAATTAACATTAATATTTTTATCATAGACATACCTCCGAATGATCAAGTCTTGAAGAAGGCGGTATCTACAAAAAGATAAGAAATTTTAATTTAGTGATCCTTTTTTTTTAAAAAAAAATTAACATTAGATTTTTCATCATAGGACATACCTCTGAATGATCAAGTCTTGAAGAAGGTGGTATCTACAAAAAGGTAAGAAATTTTAATTTAGTGATTTTTTTTTAAAAAATAAATTAACATTAGATTTTTCCTCAAACTTACTTCTGAACAATTCAAGCTTAAGAATTCAGTATCTACAAAAAGGTAAGAAATTAATTTAGTGATCTTTCTTTTAAAAAAATAAATTAACATCAAATTTTTCATCTT